GATTCTCTTGATCGACGTAGATGCCGAATATATATGACGGAAAATGCATTCGTCAAGATAGCAATAAATAAAATCATAGACTATGGATCAATCCTACAATAGTAACTATTAGAAATGGGATCGATTCGGTTCCATAAAGACACGAACCAATCTTAACTCTGCTATCTACACAGTCGTATAAAATACACACATGATGTATTAAATAATCTGACTCTAATATACAGAAGTAACTTGGAAAATTTAGGGACGCTATAAGTTCTTATTGGTCGACCAATTTTTTTGTGAGTAGGAATGACTATTCATTGTAGTGCTACTGCAATATTCACGAGTAGAGCCTATCGGGTTGGTCCCGAAATCGGATCCGATCGGGTCCAAAATTTTTGGACCCGACGGGCTTTACTCACGAGTAGATGTGATTGATTTCTAATACAAAGCTGGATCACTATGCATAAAGATTTAATAGGAACGAAAACGAAATTTGAAACGATTTTTTTCTCTCTCGGATTTATCACTACTCTACAATAGGGACACACAGTCGATGTTTTAACATAATAAATATGCGACAAATCTCTTCCTACATTAAAATCTGCTAATCAATTAGATTGCCTTTGGTATAGTTCTTTAGCACTAAAATATAAACTTACTTTAAATAAAAAATTTTCTTTTATTGAAATTTCATTGTTAACTATTTCTTGTGAGTCATTTGTTTCTATCGTTCTGTGTACTTGACAAAAAAAAGCCGAAGAATTTTGAGAATGTTTTTTCCATCATATTTGTTTATTATTACAACGACAAATTCTTTTCTCGCTACACGAATAAAATTTTGATCGACCAATTAGAAGATCTAAACATTAAAGTGAATTTTAAACAAAATAATATGTAATCTGAATATACTTTTGCTTAATTGATTATCATTATTTTTGAGTTTTGATGTAAATATGATTGTAATCTTGAACTTACTCATGTGAGTACAAAAAACAGTTAAATTGATAAGGAAAGAAAAAATTGACACTTTGTTTTTTTGAATGACTCATTATTAATTCGATGATACTTATCTAAATTAAAAAAAATAACGATCAAAGCAAAAAAAACAACACTTTGAAACAAAAGCAAATAAATTTCCTCGTTTAATAAAATACCCTAAAGTGACAATTTCTTTTTGTTGTTAGATTCTGACGGAAAACTGATTGAGTAATATGTTTCAATTTTTCTTTCGAAATTACTTCATTGAATTTGTAAATTCATATCTTAAAAAACAATGAAATAATTTCAGATAAGTTTTATTTACCTTTCATTGTGAAATAAAATATCTCAGTTTTATTGACATTAATTCCAAAATGAATAAACCTAATTTTCCTAATATTATTTTGCAAAAAAAAGATTCCAAGAATATCTTAGCATTGAAAATCCACAAATAATGATATTGCTTTAACATTTGTTTTAATTTCAATATCATTTAGACATACATAAACGTGAATGTTTATTGAGTAATATGGAAGTAATTTTATATCATGAACAAAAAAAAATCTATTTTTCTTATCTAAAAAAGAACGTTAAAATATATACTAAAATTTTAAAATTATTCTACACGTTCAGTTTAATTAATCAGATAACGAAGACTTTGTATATTTCCCTAAAATGTTATTTTTTATTGAAGCAAAAACAAAAAAGAACCTATATATTTTTTTTCGTAGTAATAAATGTTTTCAATATGATTTTGTGTTTTTATATCTAAATATGAATGAAATTTAAAATCAAAAACTTTTTGTTTTTAGTTTTGCGTCTTGTTTATTTCATTAAGTTAAAGAAGTGTACAAGATAAAATATAGTTCTAATTTTTTTATATCTTCATTTAATATCCACCACGTAAAGCTAAGACTAAATGAAGAACACTTCCAGCATTGACATTGTATTCACTAACTGTTTTATCATCTGTCATTTGTTTTCCACCGAAAATAAGTCGTTGTTGTTGTGGAGGAATTCCTATTTAATAATAAAATAATATTATATTTTTTTTTTAAAATAAAAACAACTAAGTCTTCTACCTTCTTTTTCTTCAACACGTTCTTTGATACGTTCGATTTTATCTGTACCATCTATATCAACTTCAATTTCTTTACCAGTTAAAGTTTTCACTTTGATCATCATCTTTGCAACCTGACTATTGAGAAATTATGACAAATGTATAATTTGTGTAAGATTAAATATGCTGTGTTGCAACAATTACTTGTAAGGCAATGTTGAGAATATTCCTATTGGATCATATTGGATATTAAACGGATTATCAATCAGGAATGGTATGGTTCTCAAAGTTGAAATGAAACATTTCTGATTTTTTTCCTTTCTTTTATAATTTTTTTTTTGTAATTTAAATAATAGAAAACAGCATATATTTAATTTTTTTTTCTACCAACGATCATAGATGTCATGGTATATTAAACATCAATAAAGCAGAGTCATCTAGTGGTTTGTTCATTTGGAAAAAGTACGGCTTCGAGATATATGCGTAGTTTAGTACTGAGAAATTCAAGAAAATCAAATAGAATTCATTCACAAGATTATCAAATAGATATTTTCGAAACCAGCTGATCAATACAGAGAATGAATAGAAATTTATCAGAAATTTGTTCTGGAAAATCAGAAAGTATTTAGCAGCATTTTCATTTGCTAAACGGCTTGTTACTTTCTTCTAATAAGGTAATTATTAATAAAAGAAGCACATTGTACCAGTATGTGATGCCCACTACCATATGTGGCACTTTTATAATATGCGCAAATTTTTTTGTAATGATTGGCTCTGTTTCAGCAAATCTGGTTCATGTACGAGATATTTATAAATATCTGCTTCATTTTTAATTCGACTCAATGAAAATCATCTATCAATTGGTTTGGACTATTAGTTTACAAAAATTTTACGGGACTAAAAACATTTAGAAAAGTTAGGGGGAATCGGTGAGTTGTGAGTTTGTAATTTATAATGAGTTTAAATAAGTTTGAGTGAGTTAGACTGAGTTTAACTCATTTAAACTTGCCTTAACTCACACACACTCAACCTAAGTCACTTAAAATTAGCCTAATTCCCTGAGTATCTCACCAGAGAGTTGTGATTTAGAGAAGGCTCTCTGGTGTTTTAATAAGCTTCACTTTCGCCTTTGTCGACTCGCGAGAATTTCACTCTTATTTCCCTTCAAGCTTAAAGACATTATTTCTGATTTTCTTCTCATTCGTTGTCAGTTTTCCTCATAATCGATGACTTTATATTGCACTATCTTTGATTTTCACGAATGATCTTGATATACTGTATTTAACGTTGAGGAAGATTAGAATAATGAATTGTTTGGTATACACATATAATGCCTCTAAAATGAGGAGTGTAAGCTAAAAAGTAAAATTTTTGCAATGTAGGTACTTCTAATCCATTATAGACATTCATTAGTTAGTCTTATACTATAATTAGACTCTCATTTGATCTATCTTTGCGTGTATAATGGTATACATGAACAGTATCTAACTACTAAAATCTCTGGCAATCACCAAATCACACTACTACAGACCTAGGTAGTAGCTACATATAAGAGGTTTTGCGTTGACTTGTTACGAAAAAACATTAAAGTATGTAAAGGGTACGATTTCGATTTTTTTTTGTAACATTTCAACACTTGCTAATTATCGCGCTCAGTGCAAAAATAACAGATTATATCAGATTATGTAAGATTATAGTCAGATTTTTGCGAAACAAAATCCAAATCATAATCGATTGAAATCTTCTAAAATCAACTATAATTTGGTTTTTAATTAAAAATAATCTCTTAAATCAAGTATAATTTTGATTAGAATCATCTATTTTTGATTTCTTGTAATTTTTAATCGAAACTATAAGATTTTAATCAGAATTCTAGCTGATTTAGAAGATTCCAATTAATTATAGTTTGAGTTTTGTTTCACGAAAATTCCTTTAAAATCTGTCACAATCTTGTTATTTTTAATTGGACTCTATATAAAACGATTTATTTATTTTTAGACAACAATATCACTTATCTAATAATGTACCGTGATGTATTTAGTATAGTATCAGTTAATTTATTTTGTTTTACAGATACATTTAATATGAAAAATGAGAATTGAATAAGGATCAGGAGAATAGCAACAAAAAAAAATTAATATTTTTATGAGTTAAACATCATATATTATTTTTTTCAATGGTAATATCTTTATTATCAATAATATGCACCACCTTTTTCTCGATCATCACCACGTTTGTCGGGATAATTACGATAACGATATTCACCTTTGTATGAGTAGTTACCTTATCGATCACCACCTTCAGACCGACGAGTTAGATGCACCTTTGGCAAAGCTGGTCCTACGTTAATTTTATGCCCGTTTATCACATGTTGTCCTTGATGAATTATAGTCTTCACAGGTGCACATCTATAAATCATACGTGTAAAGTTAAAAGGAAATTAGTTCCCATGTCGTCACTTTTTTAACAACTGCGTCGCAGTTGCGCGTAACTGCGAAATTTTGATCATAACTGCGCGTAACTGCGGCGCATTGATCGCAGCAAAAAATCATATGTTCGACTACGATCGACTGCGACGCAGTTACGCGTAACTGCGAATAAAATATTGCAGTTGCGCGCAGCTACGGTAAAAAATTCGCAGTTACGCGTAGCTGCGCCGCAATTACGGGTCACAGTGCGATCGCAGTTACGCGTAACTGCGTCGCAATTCGATCGCAGTTACGCGTAACTGCGTCGCAATTCGATCGCATTCGAACACATGGGATTCATCTATTACTCATCAAACTCTACAAAACCAAAGCCACGACATACGTCACCTTACAAATCTTGTTTCTTTTTTGGATGGAGCTTCATTCGATAATTTTTCTCGGAAGAACTTTGCTATATCTTTAGCTTTTTCTTTCGATAACGAATGTGGATATTCCATTAAATGTTCTTCTCTAAAGTTGTATGTTAGAAGAGTTACTTCAAAGAAAGTATGACTCACAGATTGTCCCAGTTTAAATCATTACGATTACAATATTGTCCATGGGGACGAGGAAATGGAAAATCAGTTCGTTTTGTTTTCTTGAAAGACATTAGTTTCTAGATCTAAAATTATAGAATGAAGATGAACAGCATCAGATCATTATGGAATCTTGTGTAAAAAATAAAACCAATCGTTTATTCATCATTTATTTTAATTGAGAATGAATCTTAACTATTAATTAAAAATTACTTTCTCATAACTAACTAGTTTTCTATTCATGAATAACAAAATTTTAAACTATAAAATATAAACTTGAATCATTTTGATCAAGTTTTCTTTTGGCCATGTTAACGGAATATTTGATACGTGTAAACATAATGTATTATTACCATGATCAATTATCTCTACTTAGTGATGATAATGATGAATTATTCTAAAAACAAAATAGAGGAAGTGTAATAAAAAAAAACGAACTTACTTTATTTGAAATACTTACAGTTCGAGTAGATCATGATCATTTGCCATTCATCTATATTTAAATAAAAATTTATTCAATTTTACAATTTTTAAGAGTAATTTTTATTTTATTTATACAACGATAATAATTATAAAGGATATTTCTTATAATTAAAGCAAAAAATGATAAGAAAAAAAAATGATTTACACTTGGCTGATGTTATGATGAAGTTGTATCTGATGAGTATAATGATCGATCAAGATCAATATTAGCAAACGAAGATGCAAATGAGACCAACCAAACAATAGGTGGTAATGGTAATGCTAGTAATGTCGGTAAATGAGAATCTTTTGAACGCGTTGATATAGAAGAAAATAATTTTTGCACTGATGATTAAGTGCATAATCATCGAGACGATGGTCGCAATCATCGTCCTACCTTTTTTAATTTTGTTTAATCATAATAATATTTATAAAAATATATTCTTACAGCAAAACTCGAACAGTAGTAATAACTACCGATGTGTGTTGTTGATAAAATCTTTTCTATCATTACCTTCGAATTTAGCCAAATGAAATAAAATTTAATTTTCATCATTTTGTCTTATTACAAGTTCGACGATAACAGAAAATGATTATACATATATACACGTCCGACGACAATATTAACCTGGTGAACTATGCATCGAATAGAGAAATGAAAAACAAAGAATCCAGGAATCAACATTTATATCTATACGGACAAAACAAGTCTGAGAGAAGGAAAAACAGATCGGCTATATTGTTATTTAACTAATATGAAATATCAAAAAACCACTAAATTTTAATGTATATGTCCTAGACAAAATAAAACTTAGGTAGAATTCGTTTTTAATTAGGCGCAAAACTTCAAAATAATTTTCTTTTATTTAAAAATAAATTCAAATTTCATTTGCGTTAAGAAAACATGGCACGTACTTGTTATTTGTCACTAGACAGACTATTCATTTTCACTAATTCATGTTTTCATATTTGCACCAATGATCTCTTCTGCGTCAACATCGAAAAATACTTTTCGAAAGTATTTCTATGAAGAAGCGAAGTAACATTTAAAATTTTTGGACCATTAAATGCCAAGAGAAGGCAGTTACTACTCTACCACAGGGAATACATAAGCTAAAAACTTCTTCATTTGTTTTGGTTGGAACATAAGTCAATAAAACTTAACAGCATGATATATTAACACTTTACATAACATCTATGAACTATGTTAAATTCAAAGATAAATAAACATCGATAAAAAATACAACTCAAAAAGTATAAACTTAAAGATTTTGTCTTTTTTTCTCGGTCGGAACTTGTTAAGATAAACCAGATTTGAATTGAGAACTAGTGGCAGCGGAGGCTGAGCCCTCCCCCCCCCCCCATCCCGGAATCTTCTTAAAGTTCATTTTATCATTTTTTACTTAACAAGTAACAATAAGATTGTGAGCTTTCAACCTCAACTGAGGTCGTCATCGGGTATATGAATATACAATGTATACCTATTTATATATTGTATATTCATATCAGCTGAGGTTGAAAGCTCACAATCTTATCGTGCCTAACTCGTTAAAATATAGTCTTTAGAAATGCAGCCTGACAAACGTAGGATTATAGAGTCCTTTTTTTTCTTCTGCTAATAAGAAAAAACGCAATGATGAACAAGAAACTGAATCGAATTTGATTAATTCACCATCATCATCATTTTCTTCTGAATTGCAAAATTCTCCATCTACTTCTTCCTCATCTGATGATCAAATTACTTCTGATCTTGTTTTGGTCACTTCGTCATCTTCTCTCAAAGCCTCTGTTTCTTTAAATGAAAGCGTTCGAACAAAATCTGTTCCAAATGATATTAGTGCATCGTGTAATGATCCTCCGGTTCAACCAGTATTGAAAAATTATCCCATAAATCATCAAAAACGTTCATTTCAGTCAATATGGTATAAAGACAGACCATGACTAGAGTACTCTATCAATAATGATGCGTGTTATTGCTATAATTGTCGTCACTTTCATCTAATAAATTGAATATTGGTGATGTATTTAACAATTCAGGATTCGCTAATTGGAAGAAATCGTTGATGATTGGTGATGGCCTCATAAAACATGCATCATCTCAATCACATATCATTGCAACAAAAAATTATGAATCATATAAACAACGACGAGAAACAAATTCGAATGTTATTAACAGACTAGGTTCTGGCCGTCTTATTCAGATTTGTAAAAATTGTGATCTCCTAATGAAGATATGTTCATTGTTACATTTGTTAGGACGTCAAATGATTAGTTTTCGAGGCTACGAGGAGAATGAACGGTATGTAAATTCAATTCGTCTTTGAAAAAGCCAGAGAGCTATAAAGAATGAAACGCACAAAAGACATAAAAAAGAACTGAGTCGCCGAGATTGAAGAAGAAAACACGTTCTCTAGATGATACACCTTCTTTTCTTATAACATCTTTTTCTCGTCTTTTTTCTGTATCACAGAAGCTCGAATCAATGGAATTTCTTGGAGATTCTTTGTTGGACAGTAACAATCGATCCGTCGGTGAAAGCTATTTTTGATGATTCTACGAGTAATGCCACTTATTTAAGTCATGATATCCAAAATGAATTGATCAATATTATGGCTGATCAAATTCGTGAAGAAATTCCATTCATGGTAAGTCGAGATTGTTTTATTGTTTTTACCATCAAGTTACTCTCCACTATTGTTTTAGTTAAAGAATTACAATTATGCACTGATGGCTGACGAGTGTCGAGACATAAGTGGCACACAACAATTGTCCATTGTCATTCGGTTTATTTCTGATACAAATAATCGTCCAATTGATAGTTCAAATGTGGTGAAAGAATATTTTCTTGGGTTGATTACATTCCAAGAATTTGATGCTGAAACATTAGCGAACAAAATTGTCGAGTTTTTGAACAATTGGAATATTCCTTTAAAATCATGTATTTGTTTATGTTTCGATGGGTGAGTTATTGTCCGTTTCCTTGCTAATCAACAAACTATTAAAAACTATTTTCTTCCTCATATTTATAGTGCATCAGTAATGTCCGGTTGTCACGCAGGAGTTCATGTTCTACTAAGAAAACACATGCCAAAGGGAGTATACCTACACTGTTCAGCTCATCGTCTTAATCTTATTATCTGTGACACATGTAAAGTTGTATCTTATTTGCCGGTTTATTTTACAATTGTTGCCAATATTCGTACATTTTTCACCGAATCTGGCGTGACTGACTCATATTTCAAAGAAGCACAACAACTATTGGATTTAGGTGATTATTCTGTTTAGCTTCTCTTAAAATACAACTTTTAAAAACTTTATTTTCATTGTTAGCTCAATCTTCGACACTCAAGTTATGGGCCAACACTCGTTGGGATTCAAAATGGACAGCTATCGACGCTATTATCAAGAATATCCTGCTATTATAAAAGCACTGGACGATATTAGTGAAGAAGACAGTGATACACGATCGACAAATGCAGGTGGGTTGTTAAGACATGTGAAAAAATCAATGTTTATTATTACTTCATTCATTCTTCACAAATGGTTTGGTTTAATCAAAGTCTTGAGTGATCATTTGAAGAGTAAGCCGATTATTTTTCTTTCTGCACAAGCTGTTATCTTCTTTTTTCTCAAGATCCGTCGTTAGACTATATATGTGGTGAACATCTTATATTATCGATTATTCAACAAATAACAGACCTTCGTAATGAACAAACATTCAGTGAAATTTATGATAAGGCAAACGAATTTTGTAATGTAAATCATGTCGATTTAGTACAACAGTACCGATCACGTCGAAAGACAGTAGTTCCAGCTAGATTTCAAGAATGCTTGATCGATTCAACACTTGGACAACGTGAAATGTTATCAACATTAACAGATTTCATGAGTCGAATTTATTTTCCTCTGATTGATTGTATGCTAACGGAATTGAATGACAGATTTTCATTAAAGACTTTATCATTGATGAAAAATATTTCTACAGTTTATCCAGAAAATGAAAACTTTCTGAATATTGATGCTACAGATGACTTTAGTCGTCATATCGATGGAGATTCAAGTGAATTAAAAAGTGAATTAAATATCATCAAATCTATGCATATGCCTCAACCTCTCAATGATATTATTCAATTTTTGAATGAATTACTGCCAATGTCAACTGCATTTCCATAAACATTACGTATGATTAAAAGTGCCATAACAATGCCAATTTCGCAAGTAACTTGTGAGAGATCCTTCTCGAAGATGAAGATAATTAAGAATTATCTTCGAAATTCAATGACTGATCGACGTTTAAGCGATTTGACAATATTGGCTGTTGAACACGATTTTGATATTGATTATGAACGGGTAATAGATAAATTTTCAATTAATCACAAGAACAGCAGGATTTTGTTGTGTTAAGTTGTATTGTCTGATGTTTTGAATAAAGTTAGTCAAGTTCTTTGCACATAAATAGGAATGTTTTATTCAGTATAGAGCAAGTAGCATTATTGAAGAGTCAAAATACTGAAAAAAAAAACTTCTATTACACTTTAGGTTTTGAAGTATACTGGGGGGGGGGGAGCTCAGCCTCCCTCCCGTGCCAAAAATCCTGGCACCGCCGCTAAATAAAAGTCAGTTGGTATGTTAATAGCTGTCTAATGCAAGTCTTCAAAATTGTATCAGAATGTAGACAAAAGAGTGGCCTTTGAGATCTCATTTTTCATGGTGACAAAGCAAGACCCTATGTTCGCGTGACTTCTGCTTGTTCCCAAAACTGAAACATCAATTACGAGGAATTCAATTCTACGACGACGACGACAACACAATGTTCAATGCATTAGAACCAGTCATTAACAGTCATACAAACGATAAATTTAAAAAACGACTTCAATGATTAATTTGTTCGAATGCACATATGTATTGATGCTCTGAGGAAGCGTACTTTGAAAAACTACGCTAGAATTATCCTTTGAATATTTATCCGAAGGGCTGACAAAAAAAAAACGTTTCTAGCGCCTCATGTAACCGCTGAATCATTTATTAATATATTTCGATATTTTGCCTTTTTATGATACAAAAAATGGATATGAATAAATCACGATACTAGAGCTACAAATAATTATTGAATCTGACGCAAATGAAGAATATTAATGAAACAACCATCTGCAATTGTTTCTTTTGTTATTGTATGATTTGCTGCATGAAATCAATATCTTACAGTTATATTTATTTATCTCTGTATTACTCATAGTATATCATTTTGCTATTTATCTTGAAATTCAATCACTATTGGATTGTTATCGATCTAATCTAATATTTGTTCGTTATTATTCATATTTCTATTAATCAATTTTAATAAACGTTCTTCCGACATTTATATTGTCTTTGTATAGTTTCTTAGTGTTTCATAATGTTCGGAGATAAATATCGATTATTCATCAGGGAATGGATCAACAATTGACATCAATGATTTTGGTATTTGCCAATGGATTTATTATCTAATTTTGATCTAAAAGGATTCATTAGAATCATTTATTAAATACTGAATTACTTTATTCTGTCGTGTTTTCATATCATAATTTGAATTTTGCAGTAAATTTTCAAATTTTTTAAAAATTTGACTATCGTCATCAAGTCAAATATGTATTAGCAAATACATTTTTGCCATGATAGTATCATGCTCGATGAAATCAAGTTAATCTTGTAGTTAAGAACTCGATTCTTTCCAGTATTGAATAGATTTTCTTATTTATTTCACTTCATTCTTTGTTTATAAGTTAGATCTGATGTGTCTAGAATTTTTTTAAAGTTATACACAGGAATCTTATCCTTATGATAACTGTATTATTTTATAGAAAGGAAAAATTGAATAAAGTCATTACTTCGAAAAAAAAAAGAAAACATTTAGTTTATCTGCAATAATCTTTTGTATGACATTAATATAAAATGACACAGTCAAAATCTAAACATGGAAAAAGTGTTATTTATATTATTAAAAGACTTGTATTTTTGTGACCTATAAATGTTATTTATAGAGCGTTATATTTTTATATAACTGTGCCGAAATATCAAAACCTTTTGTATAAACATTTTATTTGTAGAGTCAGTATGACAATTTGATAAAATAAAATATACTTTGTCAGATTTTGACACAGACAGAGTTAAACTAATAGTAAGTACAACAAAAAAATTATCTTATCATCAATAGATAACAATAAAATATTTGTCCTACTATGTTTTAAATTTTGTATTAATTTTTAAAAAGTTTCATCATAGTAATAAATTTCATCCTTCTTAAGAAAAGTAAAATGAACAGATTTTATAAATTTAATCTATCTAATAACATGGTTTCTTAATTCTGTATCTACAAATATGATCATTGCATTCTTTTGTCTTATACGCTACAAAGGTGAGTCACACAAGACGATAAGGACAATAATTTCATCGTGTTAGAATTTGCATTATGCAAGGACGATGTTACTCATGTCCTAGTTATTGCACAAGTATATTTCAATAAATAATCATCATTCTTCGAACGTTCAGTTTTCGAAGTATTGAAAAATTTCATAAAGTATAAAAAGAACAGAATAGTATAATCTATTGAATATATTAATTTTATTGATAATTAATTCTGATTTATATTAAGAAAAAAATTAAGTATGCCATTGAGAGGAATATTTAATAATCCCTTTTAACAACATCTGTAATTACTTCCAACATGGCAAAGATGACTATAAGTTTTTCGATGATTTTTAATTACAGAAAGGAATATATGTAGACTTCTAGAGAAAAACTTCCTCTATCTAATAGTATATACATTTTCAAGTTCTACTGCATATCGTTGCTCTGTCAATATATGGCACTACCTTCACTGCGACCACGGTAGAGTGGGGTACAGCTGGCGTCATGTATTGACGTATCTACAGTACGCAGTAGAACTTGAAAATGCATACACTATTAGCTCTTCTCTAAAATCCGATACATGAAAAATATTCAGACAAATCAAATACTCAGGTACTGATCAAAAAAGAAAACCCTAACGTGTTTCTTCGTTCTAGACTGAATCCACTAACCGGTAGCAGGTTGGACGTATTGCTATGAAACAGGTCAACGCATCAACACATTTCTCTTGTGTACATACATTTACCTTTATGATCGATCATTTTCATCAGTTTTTTAGAGCTATACAAATCTTTACGAATGTGTTTTATCATATTGATTCTATTGATACGATAACTATGATAATTAATATACAAGCAAATGTGCTTTACAAACAATGCTACTTTACTTTACTAGCATTGTCAGAACAAATCCTCAGTGGACTATGACTAATTATGGTACTATTTATCTACCAACAAACCAATCTCCTCTTGCTTCTACTCGATCGTTACTTAAAGCGTTCAATTGGTTTCACACAATGCATTTCTTTTGAAAAATGTCCCATAGGACAGGATGAGATGAAAAATTTTCAGCATCACCCCATCCCATGGAATGATTTTTTTTTCGTCTCATTCCATGTGGAGCTCTGGTGGGTGTGGACGCAGGGTATGTGGAATAGAGATATTGCCCTCATCCAGATTCCAAAGGAATTAAAGAATGTAATAGAAGAAAAGGGACAAAGGGAATAAAATTTATAAAAGTCATAGTAGTTTGAAAAGTCGTAAAGTAAAACGAGATAAATTTTCATTTTTCATGAACTCCTCAATTATTTTATACGAATTATTTAATAAAAATTTATATCTGAAAATCTCAACTGACAATCATATATAAAGAAAGATTAAGATTATCATTTTTAAATTTATATGTTTTGTTGTTTCTTAGAAATACATAGATTAACTGAAAAGTTTTAAAATACGTTGATTTTATCAAAAGTAATTTGTTTTTGTTTTTGCTTTATATTGTCATTATCAGAGATACTTTGAAAATACAACGTTAATATTTATTAATCAATTTAATCTTTTTTTTTTTAATACTCATCGATTTCAGAAAATATTTCTTATTAAATAGATTTGTCCTATTTTCTAGTAATATTTGATAGTAGTGAATCAATGATCAGTAAGAAGAATGAATTCAAGAGATTAAATTCACTCGCGTAAAAATGCTTACTCAGTTACGAAGTTACTCATATCAAACAGAGTATTGCGTATATAACTTAGTTATTTTAGTGAAAGATACATTCTTCTTTTAAAATAAGGACAAATGCAAGAAGAATAACACATTCATTATCTTTTCAGAATTGGTTACAAGAAGTATGTAATTTTTATATCTTCCGACTTATGTTTCAGTCTTCAGTTTTAATAGAAATTTTGTATTAATTTTGTTTTCAATACAACGTCATGACAATTCGTTGTAGAGATTTGATAGATTTTTCTTATTAGAAAGAGCAAAGTTGTGTAAAAATTTTTCGTTCAAAATACTTCAAAAAAAGATTGAAAAGGGTTAAGAAAATGTTTTTGACTGGAAAAGTGCCTTGTCACTTCATACAAAATCGATAATGCAACGCCAGTTTTCTAGTAGTATCAGAATATTCGAGTTATAAAAACTACAGGTTCTATAGAAAACAATTTTATTAAAAACTTGATTTTTCCTTCTAAAACATCCAATGAAGTTGAAGAGAAAAACTGTATTCTGTTTTATCATCATGTACTTTTGTGGTGGAGTCGCTAAACTCTAATTGGACATAAAGTTTGAGATTTCATTAACTTCGATTGCTGGAAAAAATCTTATTTTTCGAAATTACTTATTATTTGTGAACACTTTTCTCTAGCGAAGAGCGTCAGAAACATATCAGTTTAGACATTCAATCGATAATTTGAATATTTTACTTTCACCTATTTACAATTTGTTTCTAAATTTCAGAAGCATGTTGAGAACTTTTCAGCTTTTGGGAAGTATTTTGTACAAAATGTTTGTACATAGTTTTGTAGAAGAAACTTTGCTCTTTCTAACAAGGAAGCTATTAAGTTTCTACGATGAATTGTTGTCACATTATACCGAAAACAAAATTAATATCGAACTTTTACAACATTCACCATTTCGCCGAAAAAAGTTCTCGAGAAATTTATCTATGCAATAGAGTATTACTTCTGAGTGATGCAATAACATAGCTTATTAGAAAGTCTAACATCGTCTGGCAATTTCAGTTGGAATAAACCTTATTTTCCTTTTTTTATAGACTATTCGTAAGA